GTCTCGATCTCTTGACCTCGTGATCCACCCGCCTTGGCTTCCCAAAGTGCTGGGATTATAGGCCTGAGCCACCGCCCCAGGCTAAAATTCTTTTATTATTCAATTTTTTTTTTTTTTTTTTTTTTGGAGATAGTATCTTGCTCTGTCGCCCAGGCTGGAGTGCAGTAGCACAGTCATGGCTCACTGAAGCCTCAATCTCCTGGGCTCAAGTCATCTTCCTACCTCAGCCTCCTGAGTAGCTGGGAGTATAGGCATCCACCACTGTACCTGGCTAATTTTTAAAGTTTTTTATGGAGGCAGAGTCTTGCCATGTTGCCCAGGTTAGTCTCGAATGCCTGGGCTCAAGCGATCCTCCCACCTCATCCTCCCAATCAATTTTTAACCTTATATCACATTCACATTCCTAAGAGATAGATTTAATAAGTCCTTGGAGATATTTGAAAATATCTACTGATTTCAGTGGGAAAGAGAAACATTTTAGACATGTTGGGGTTTATTTAACTTCATATTGGAGAACTTATCTTTTTATAAGTTATTTTCATTTTAATTCTATTTAGGATTTGACCCAGCAAATCAATCTGAGCCCCAAGCAACACCATAGTGCTTTGGAATGCTTACTACAGAGAATTGCAAAGAATGAAACAGCCAGCAATGAACTGATGCGTTGGGGGCTCTGTCTGCAAAATGATGTACATAAGGTAAACCAGAAAACATGATGGTATATGCACACGCACAGACACACATGTGTGCAATGTTTATGTGACTTTCCTTTTGTTCTCAATATGTTTTGAATGTTTGTCCATGTCATTTAATACTTTTTTTTTTTTTTGAGGCAGAGCCTTACTCTGTAGCCCAGGCTGGAGTGCAATGGCGTGATCTCAGCTCACTGAAACCTCTGCCTCCTGAATTCAAGTGGTTCTCCCATGTCAGACTCCTGAGTAGCAGGGATCACAGGCGCTTGCTTTCATGTCTGGCTAATGTTTGTATTTTTTTGGTAAAGTCAGTGTTTCACCATGTTGGCCAGGTTGGTCTCAAAGTCCTGACCTCAAGCAATCTGCCCACCACGGCCTCCCAAAGTGCTGAAATTACAGGCGTGAGCCACTGCACCTGACCATATTTTTCTAAGTATTTGTAATGGCTGCCTAATACTTTTTATTAACGATTTTCTATCCTTTTACATTGAAATTGAATTTAGTGTTTTTCTATTATAAATAATGATGCAGGCCGGTCATGGTGACTCACACCTGTGATCCCAGCACTTTGGGAAGCTGAGGCAGGTGGATCACCTGAGGTCAGAAGTTCAAGAACAGCCTGGCCAACATGGTAAAACCCCGTCTCTACTAAAAATATAAAAATTAGCCAGATGTGGTGGCACATGCCTGTAATCCCAGCTACTCAGGAGGCTGAGGTAGGAGAATTGCTTGAACCCGGGAGGTGGAGGTTGTGGGGAGCCGAGATAGAGCCACTGCACTCTAGACTGGGAGACAGAGCGAGACTCAATCTCAAAAAATAAAATTAATTAAAGAAAAAAGAAAAATAATGATGCAGTATACGTCCTTGTAACTAAATCTTTGTATATGTTATTTATTTAATTTTGAGATGGAGTCCAAGTGATTCTCCTGTCTCAGCCTCCCAATTACGGGTGTACACCACCATGCCCGGCTAATTTTTAAATTTTTAGTAGAGATGGGTTTCACCATGTTGCCATGGCTGGTCTCAAACTCCTGACCTCAAGTGATCTGCCTGCCTTGCCTTTCTAATGTGTTAGTATTACAGACATGAGCCACCATGCCCAGACCTTGTTTATTAAGTCCAATTTATGAAAGTAAAATAATTTAGGAACATGTATTTATTTATTTATTTTGAGATGACATTTTGCTCTTGTTGCTCAGTCTGGAGTGCAATGGTGAGATCTCAGCTCACTGCAGCCTCCACCTCCCTGGTTCAGGCAATTCTGCCTCAGCCTCCTAAGTAGCCTCAGCCTTCTGAGTAGCTGGGATTACAGGCATGCACCACCACTCCCAACTAATTTTGTATTTTTAGTAGAGACAAGGTTTCTCATATTGGTCAGGCTGGTCTCGAACTCCGGACCTCAGTTATCCACCCGCCTCAGCCTCCCAAAGTTCTAGGATTACAGGTGTGAGCCACCACACCCGGCCGACATTTATGCTTTTAATACTTCTATTTTATTTATTTATTTTAATTAATTTATTTTTTTGAGACAGTCTTGCTCTGTCACCCAGGCTGGTGTACAATGGCATGATCTCAGCCCACTGCAACCTCCTCCTCTCAGGTTCAAGGAGTTCTCCTGCCTCAGCCTCCCGAGTAGCTGGGATTACAGGCATGTGCCACCATACCCAGCTAATTTTTGTATTTTTAGTAGAAATGGGTTTTCACCATGTTGGCCAGGCTGGTCTCAAACTTCTGACCTCAAGTGATCCGCCTGCCTCGGCTTCCCAAAGTGCTGGGATTACAGGTGTGAGCCACCAAGCCTGGCCATACTTAAGTTTTACGTTGCCAGTTGTCTTCTAGAAAGGTTTAACATTTTTTTGCCTTCTTGAGCATGAGTCTGACTCTTATACGTTTGCTAATATGAGTACCTTACTCTTTATAATAGACTTTTATAATATTAGGAAAGTCATTAAAACATTTTTATTATAGATAACAAAATTTTTTTTGAGACAGAGTCTCACTATGTTGCCTAGGCTGGAGTGCAGTGGTGTGATCTTGGCTCAGTGCAATCTTTGCCTCCCAAGTTCAAATGATTCCCGTGCCTCAGCCTCTCAAGCAGCCACCACACCTGGCTAATTTTTGTATTTTTAGTACAGATGGGGTTTTCCCGTGTTGGCCAGGCTGGTCTCAAACTCCTGACCTCAAGTGATCTGCCCACCTCAGCCTTCCACAGTGCTGGGATTACAAGCGTGAGCCACCGTGCCTGGCCTAAAATGTTTTTTTTTAAAAGCAAACAGTAGAAATTATAAAAAGTAGAAGTCCTGGCCGGGCGCGGTGGCTCAAGCCTGTAATCCCAGCACTGTGGGAGGCCGAGGCGGGTGGATCACGAGGTCAAGAGATCGAGACCATCCTGGTCAACATGGTGAAA